GAGCATTTTTTTTCTCCCCAGACATGGAAGCCTAAGGAACAAAGGGCAGGTTTTAAAATTCTCTGCTATAAAAGCCTGCATCTCTTGCAAGCATGTATGATGGAAAAAAGTCATCCTAGTCCTTGCCTCCTCTCTGCACCACATAGTAAGGGATGTAGTTCATGAGAGTTGAGAAGGGAAAAATGGAGAAACAAGCTGGTTATCTGCACTTTTTACAAGTCCAACAGATTTGGAAGGTTGGAGTGGGAAACCAGCTTAGAAAAGAGAACACCAGTTTTCTATCCTTTGCAGCATAAGTACATTTGTCTGCAGGAGAGAAATGGATGCTGGATGGTCACATGGAGGTCATACTATGCATAGAGCAACATATGAATTTCACTGGCTCCCCCAACTTGTTTCTTCTGCTCTTTGAAGACATGAATCCCAGTGAGATATCCCTGTCTACAGCTGAACCACAGATGGGGGATCCACCGTGCCAGATCTGCACAGGTATTGGCCTTGTGCCTGTGACAGAAAGGACTCCCCTGCCCCAGGTTTGCAGGAGATTCAAGTTGCAAGGTTTTCTCATAGTTCTTATCCTCGTTGTCTTGCAAATGTCTGGTGGATGAGTTTGGGCCTTTGTTACCTTTGGCAAACTGCTCCACACATTTCATTGTATCTACACATTTGAAATACTCTTTGCCAAAATGCTTGTTGTTAACATGCATCAGCAATTACACTTCTGTTCAAAATTAACATATGAACTGTTGCACTTAACATTCATGGGATAACATTACATTGTTCTGCCGTAAGGGAAGGTCTGAGACATCACTGAAAGCTTAAAACCACTTGGAATAGTGGAGATCTGTGAATACCTTTTATAATCTATGAGGCAGCCCAGGACTCATTGCTTTGTATTTGAACCTCTGACCTGTTTCTGATGGAACCTTAGCAAGGTCCCTGTTACCTCCTGTACTAAATCAAAACATGATTTTGCAGCCTGATGTTGGGTACAAAATGGGCTCAAAATAAATACAGGAACAAATCCAAAGCACACTCTAATTTCCTTATTCTTTTTCCTCTGTTCCTTCCCAGCTAGACTAAGATAACTTTGAAACATGCAGCTGACAGAGTTAAAGATTTACAGCTGTGAGAAAAACACCAAGAAAATACACAAGCTTTTCTGAAACAGCATCTGCAGTCAAACATAAAATGTTTGTGTTTATCTATGTGCACAGGATATTTTTACATGGATGTATGACTGAATCAATCATTTCCAGCCAAGCAGATAGTTAAGCAGTTAGAACAATAGTCTATTTAAGTTAAGTTATGTTTAAATAGATTAGAAAACAATACAAAGGGATCATTTCATTATCACTGAAATGCAGCAGCCATCTCTTGAGAGAGAGAGACAACAGCAATAGATACTACAGGACAGTTTAGGCATTTTAGGATTAAACAGTGAAACTTTGGGGGAGAATTTACAGAAAGAGAGAATTGAAATAGATTGAACCAGACTTAGGGACATTCAATAACTTCCTGCATTAAGGCACCTCAGCTCCAACCCTGAGTCAGGCCAGCCCTCCCTTATCTCATGGAATTGCAATCTCAAGTGCTCTGGAGGCACGTAAACAAGTAAAGGGGATAGTCTTTGTCATGGAACAGATATAGCTCAGGGAGGGGAGAGCTTCCTGCAAACAGATTTCCCAGTCTCATAGCACAGGTCTGACAATTCCCAATAAACAGTAGAGTCACTGTTTCACATGGGCAGCCCAGGAAAAGGTGTGCATTGGTCAGAAAAAAAAAAAATCAATAATTAATTAGCCTCCAACCACTGACAGAGCACTGGAGATGCTGGATGCTCTGTAGCTAACACTGTCTGCCACTGGCTTACCTACAGTACCTTGCACAGCTGGGGCTGCTTAGTCATGTCAGCCATAAACACAGACTATGCCCACGTGGTAGATATCACAAAGTTTATCTTCTTCCCTCTCCTTCCTGCCTCCACCCAGCATCCCAAAACAGACTGCAGAAGGAGCTCCACTGTCTGAGGCATTCTGCATCCACCATTTCACATCAAGCCAGCTGGTGCTGCAATTCCCCTGTCCTTGCTTCTCTCAAAGACATATATTATAGATAATGGGACACTCTGGACTTTGTTCCATACATGACAGCCCAGAGTGTTGTTCTTTCATGAAGACTGACTGTATTCTTCCCGTCCCTATAATAACCTGGCACTTGGAGCAGGAGTATCTGACTTCTCCTTCTCTGGCACAGTTGGCAGAGTGAGGATAAATGCTTCATTTTTCCTTTGGTTTAATCCACTCTAGGACAAACAGCTAATCACAAAGCCTTTCTTCCTGGAGTTAATTAATTTTCTGTTGAAATATTTGTATATAATATCTGCTCTGAAAAAGCTCATTTTGAGAGCCTTATAAAAAGGACACACATCTGGATTCATTTGAAATGTTTTTGTGATTGCATTTCATGTCTTATTGGAATAATTTTGTCCTATCTCCAAGGTGATTCTGCTAAAAGATTTTTACGCTTAAACCTTAAACAATGCAAATGTAACCAAGCCTAGAGAAAATATGGTGCAGGATTAATAGCACCGCGTCTGTTGAATATTTCTTGCACTGAGCTGTACAACTCTCAGAGGCTGGCTGTGCTACCTGGGACCTCTTGGTTTGGTTGATCCTGCTAAAATTTGCCAGTGATATCCCATGCCAACTTACTTTAAACTTGGCCAGCAATTGGGTTAGTACAAAAATTTGTTGTCAGCTCCATTTAACATCCTGGAAATGTTCCAATGCATTTTGTCTAAATTTGAGGTAATCTTTGAAATGAATTCTACATTGTCATTTTAGTTCTCCCACGAGCAAAACTTTTATCTGTATTTACATATTTTTAAAGAATTTGAAGACAAACAAGTAAATTCACATCCAGGAAGCTAAACACAAAACCCTAGGAATTTATACACTATGAAAGCACAAAGGCAAGACAAAACATGGCCCTGATATGCCATGGTAGCTGTGGTTACCTGCTTGCATTGGAGGAATCCATTGGTGCATGGTACACACTCTCAGTGATTCTTTGGTGCAGTTGACTTGCTTCTGTTAAAGAAAAAGTAAAAGAAAATTGCTCCAAATTGCAATGGGGCAATTTTGTGTTTGCATAGAAGGTGGGAGAGAGAGGAATAGGAGAGGAGAGATTTTGACTGCTGCTGCAATCGACATGGAGTGCTTGTATTTGAAGGGAAAGGTATACGGTGATCTTAATGAAAACAGCTCACACTAACAGGTCTTCTACCCAGATTTTTTTTCCTTACCACCTTCTCTTTCCTCTGCACCTCTTCCTAGCTAACTTCACTATACGGATCTGGAGAATGGACATAATGGCATTTTTCCCAGAATATAAGTTTTGTGGCTCACAGCTTTTTCTGGATTTGGCAACACATGTACATCAGTCCTTTTGCACATGCAGCCATCTAGTAGGACATATCCCCATCCCTCTGCAGAATGCTTTTGCTCAGCATCCTGTACAAACAGTAATAAGAAAATATTATTCAGATGCCACTTGCTCATTCTTTTTGCATAGCTGCAAACTAGCAACAGACTTGTACCTATGTCCAGTAACTGCTGAGTGAAGAAAAATGATAACAAAGATGCTGACAGCCTGGGTTTCAGGGCCAGGAGAGTCAGACACTGAGAAGTGAGGAAGCAATGGAAGGAGCTGCTTTCAAACTCTCAGATTGCCGAGATTCCCGGCCTATTCACTCTGGAAGAAGCAAAAGGAGAACTTGTCATTGAAAGGAGAATTGACAAGGGGACAGAGGCAGCACTGAAAGATTAAACTCAACAAAGTCTTTTGTTGGTGGGAATGCTGGGAGAAATGTGCAGTCTGGGTGGGGAGTCAGAAGTAGCTCCATTCCTGGTTTTGGCAACTGATTCACAGCCTTGCAAAAATCCCTTAAGCTGCATCTGTAATTCCTTTGCCTGCAAGAGACAATTACACGCCTTGGGATAGATGGATCAAGGTGTTACCCAAAAATCTTGTTAGCATTCCATGCTGACTGCAATATGTGATGGGGCTGTATATATACCGAGTGTTTGGACACTAACGACCCATACGTTAAACTCTTGACCACACACCTTTGGCCACCTTCTTTGCCCTTCACTCACTCATTCATCTCAGGTGGTTCCTTCCAACATTCCAATCCCCTGTGCAACTCCTAACAACAGTCATTAAAAACAGCCAGCCAAACAAATGCATCCCTCTTCCTTCTCTCATTGCAATGCACTGTTGGAGAAATATCCAGCTTTGGATTAAGGCCTCTTCTTTCATGAGTCATTGGAAATAGAAACAACTGTTTAAAACCACAGGACAAAGCATGTGCTTCCTGTCATCAGTATTGTAACAGGCGCTTTGGTTCATGTGATTATTTTGGAAAAGGCAATGGGAAGAGTTGCAATAGCATATAAGACACAATTTATACCCTCTGATTGCTGTTCTGATGGATTCACAATGAAGAAGAGCTTGGCTTTACTTATAGAGTAGGATGAAAGTCATCCTTGGAAGTTCTCAAGACCAGACTGGATAAAGTCTACAGTAATCTGGTTTGACCAATAACTGACTCTGCTTTGAGCAGGACCTTGGACTACGATGTCTTGAGATCCCTTGAAACCTGCAATATCTAGAATCTTAGGAGCTTAAGAAAAACCAATAAAGAATATCAAAATATAAATGCTTTCAGTAACTTCCAATCTTGATCCCTGAATATTTTTCTCTGGAAAATAAATAGTAACTCTATCTTATAGGTCTTGCATGCTACAAGGATTTCACTAATGCTCATCTGGGTGACATACAAGCTTCATTTTCTTTGCCTAGAAACACAAACAGAGGATTAGCACTCTATCCTATTAAACAGGTACATTTTCTCCATTAGCAACCCTTATCTTCTGTGGTAGCCTAAGTAACACCAGCACTTACACTTCAGGAAGTCCCTAGATCAAGTCCTAAAACTGCACTTGCAAGAATCTTGAGGTCTTTCTTCAGCAGTTCCTGCAAAAGAGCAAAATTGAAAAAAGGAGAGAGGATGAGGACAAGAAGAGTAACAAAAGACCTGAGGAGTAAGTATTGCAAATAAGTATATAGTTATGGGTTGGATTAAATTGCTGAGGCAAATGTGCATTGTTGTTTCCCTCCACTTAATGAGTTTGTAAGAACTCATTGCCTTTTGAAACAGACAATTAAAATAAAGGTGGCCTCTACAGTTAAAGCAAAAAAGGAGAGAGGATGAGGACAAGAAGAGTAACAAAAGACCTGAGGAGTAAGTATTGCAAATAAGTATATAGTTATGGGTTGGATTAAATTGCTGAGGCAAATGTGCATTGTTGTTTCCCTCCACTTAATGAGTTTGTAAGAACTCATTGCCTTTTGAAACAGACAATTAAAATAAAGGTGGCCTCTACAGTTAAAGCACAGGCATAGGTTTCCACCTAGGTCAAAGTCTGCTTAGAAATCTGAAAGATGTGGGTGGAGAGGATTTGCTGGCCTTGTTTTGAAGAGAAGTGAGTGTACAAAGAAGCAAAAAAGACAGATCAAGGTGATAAACAATGCCAGGGCCCAGGAAATGTCTGTATTGGACACAGCTGTGTTTGGGTTATTTGTCCTAAAAGGATAAATAGAATATTATCTCTGATAGCTACCATCACTATGTTCTTTTACTATCTGGAATAACCTAACTGTATTTTGTCTGTCTGGGATCAGTACCTTACATAAAAAGGGTGTAATTATTTTAGGTACTTAGTAGGCTTTAATCATTTATGTGTTTAATAGTCACAAACCACCTCCATACTGACATCTCTGTGAGAGAGGGAAATGTCATTTCCCTGTCACATGTTACAGGGAAGTCACTAAGATAAAAAGATGGGGTAACTGACTGACACTTAAAATATAAGGTGGGTAACTAGATTTAAAATAAACCCCCTCAGAACTCAAAAAAAGCAAACCAAACAACAGGATGGAGAGGAGCAGTTGCTGTGTCCAGTCATCTGCTTGGAAGGAGATTGTGCCAGGTCTTGTGAGCAGGACTCCATCTCCTCACATGCTGATGTATGTTTCTAGGGTTGTGATTTGGGAGGGAGAACAGAAGAAAACCATTTTCCTTGGACTGTGTCTGGAATAGTTATGCAGACCATTTCTAAAGTTCCAAGAAATTTTCTTTGATCCAGACAAGGATTTAAATCCCAGCAATGCTGCAACCACCCAACTGGTGGTGGTGCAACTTGTCCCAGCTCCATGTTGTCACACACAGCTACAGAAGGCAATACTAACAGATTCTGCTCTGTGTGCCCTACCTCTACATGCTTCCAGCTGTCCTGTCAGGACTTTGCGAATCTCTGAAATCCAGGTGTTTTTCAGCTCAACAGAAGAAGCCTGAGAACACAAGAGGAAAAGGCAAAGCAGATCCAGTTACAGCATGCTGCCAGTCAGTGGGCTGCCCTGACCTACATTTGCTCTTGACTTTCCCAAGGACTGGAACACTGTGGCCAGCATTGAGCAAAGCAGAGGACACTCTTTTAGATGGATAAGTTGTCATGAATCTATGGTCTTGTCCTTGCTTTTCTGTCCAGCGTTCCAAGTAATTTCCCTCTACTTTGTTTCCTCATTTACTCTAAATCATGGCCATTTCCACAATGATAAGTTGGCAATTTCAGTGCCTACAAAACAGTGAATCTTCCAGCGGCTATTTCAGGAGTTTGCAGGTCAGGGAAAGTCATGAAACTGAAAACATTCTTAAAAACAATTCAGTTGAATGGAAGTCCTTGGAAACAAAAGGATTGTTGTTACCTGAATGATATAGACTTCTTCTCTGCCATTATACCAGATCTCAAACTTCTTGTTATCCCCTTTTACATTTTCTGTAATGCCCACAGTGCTCATCTGTTTCAAAATAGAAAAGAAGTAGCTGGAATCTGGAAAATATCAATAACCTTAAACTCAGCCATCTGAGAATCATTTTTAAAAGGCTGCATTCACTTCTGCACCTTAGGGAGTCATTAAAAATAAAATTCAGAACTTATTATTTCTCAGCATCTAACTTCTCACTTATCTTTTTGATTGTTACATGGAAAAGGCGTGCTCAAAAGTAACACAAACTAAGGTCTGGTCATGAGTTTATCCTCTTTTCTTTCTTTGCTTGATCTGTGGGTCAGTTTTCAATCTTATCCTGGCACTTGTCCACCTAGACATATTTTCAGTTTTAGGAAAAGTGTATTTTCACTTGTCATCACTATCCTGTTGAGGTAGGAGAAGAAGAGGGATGGAACAGGGTTTTGTGAAATTTAATGCCTGATCTGCAAATCCAGACAACACAAAAAACCAAACAAACAAACAAACAAAAAAATCCCAAAACAAACAAAAAAAACCCTGAACAATATCATTCTGGATTTCTTAAATGATAAATTCTTAACCACAATTTTCAAGTCCAGGACTATACTTACCAGCTTCCCATCGTCCTGGAGTTGTTCATCCTCCTTGTTCTGTTTTACCTCAACATTAGATTTGAAGATCTAGTGCTATGCCACCATTCCTACTATCTCCACAGAAACAAACTTCAAATTTTTATATGAATTGGCTCAACCCAATTGGTTCAACCAGGTTCTATTACAATTCCTGTCTGGTTACCCTGTAATAAGTTTGCAGCACTGTACTGGATGTTCCATGTTAGTTGGCTAAGGTCATAAGTGTCACACCAATGTGCTTAAGAGAAAATGTAGTGTAGTTGTGAATCCCACCTTAAAATGTCCTGACTCATCTGGAAATGTCACTCTTGCAAATAAAAGGGCACTCCTACTGCACTGATTCATCTGCAGCTAATACTGTCACAGAATATAGCTGCTCAACTGATGTAAATGGTAAAGCCTGCAGTAGAACTGCACTTGGAAGATACTCATAAGCAGAACAATGAGAGATGCAGGTCCATTCAGTCTTGCTTCTCTTTGTGGGACGCTGGGCAAGAGCACACAAGGTGCCTGTTCATATCAAGTTGCAAAAACCAAGGTTCATATCTGGAGCTGCAGGACATATGACTTCGTCTGCTCCAGATCAAAACTAAATGGGAACTTCCATTTGCTCAGGGTGGCAAGATATGTGCACCTTCTGCAAGCCTCCACATGGAAACATCCCCATCTTGTGAGGACACTAGACTTATTTCTCTCACCCAGCATTACTGCGTTCGTTACCTTTAACGAATTTTTAAAGCTGTATGAAGCTGTCTTCTCATGGCCATCAGTGTTCTCCTCCCGTTTCTTGCAGAAAAGTAGCATCTTGGCATAGAGGAAGAGGTGTCTCTGCATCGGTTTGAATCTAGCCAAGTCCTTCACCTTGTTGTGCCCCTTCTTGTGGTCAGTCCACACATTGAAGGAGCCCTGCATCAACAGCTTGCCAAGCTCACTGACATCCCCCTAGTAAGAAGGAAAAAAGTGAGCATACATCACATTCAAACTAGAGTAGTCCCAGGCACAATTCATTCCTGTAGTGGTGTTTAAACTTCCAGTCAGAGGCATGTGCCTAGGCAGCCCTTGTGTTGGAGAGTGCAAATGTCCCCTTGCTGAACCTGTGTGGTTTCTTCATATAACCATTAATCCACTGCTTTCCACATCTGTAATTGCCAGTTTGTCTCCCCATTCATAGTTAGTATCTAAGGTCTGTCTCAGGACCTCTTTGCATGTGACACACAGGCTGTCCCCTCTGCTGACCTCAGAGGAATCATCTGACAAAACCTGGGTTTCAAGACTCCTGACTCCAAGGCAGTATGAAAGTCCAGTGCAGTCCAGATACCCAAGCAAAGGCCTTGACTCCAACAGATCTAATTTCAGTTTCTGTTTTTGCACAAACCTTCCATCCCTGGGCAAAACCTTGAAAGACCTTAAATGTCTGAAGTCACAGGTTGATGCCTAAAGGTATGTAAGTATGTAATTCCCTTCAGTTGCAAAACAGTCTGTAAAAGCTCTGTCAATAGTTTCTTGGCTCACCATCAGCAAACTATGCAATGCTGCACAGCCTTGGGCAATGAGGGAGTGAATGCACCAAGGAGCCATAAAAGTACCTGAGGGAGAGTGAAACTAAGCAGGAACAAGATCTTTCTGAATTAAAACCCTTGCCTGAGGATCACTGATGGCTAAATACTTCAACTGATATAAATATTTAGCTCAGATGCCACCACCAGCACAGTTCAGTGTTAAGAGTGTAGTAAGGTGTGGATAAAGGACATGGCAATGTCTATATGGTAATGGGCTTCAACAAATAATGATTAACATAATTATGCTAGCAACAAGTTTTTCCTAGGAGTGCTCTGTATAAAGTTGAGGGAATAAACCCAGTGCATAAAAAAAGTATTTATTTTCAACATTTGTATGTTCTGTTCATTATAAGGTAAAGATGTTGGGTCCAAGTGGGAACGTCTGATTTTTTAAACTAGAGATTGCAATCTGTTCTCCCTCTCACTCCACATCCTCTACCCTAGATCCAGCTGCAAAATCATGGCTTGATTAGGTACTTTTCCTCTCTATATCAGGGTATTGTTAGACTCTCCAAACCATTCAAAAAAACCCTCAGATAACAGGCTGCCATCTCTAATATAGAGAGTGGATCTTTTCTTTGTGCACACAGGACTGTGTGTGTTTTTATTTACAGGTGCATGCAGGTATAAATTGCAAGTCTGTGAAATACATATTGATGAGATGTAAAGCTAAATTTAAAACCCAAACAAACATTTTTTATATAGTTCTGACAGTTCAAATCTTGTGATAAATCTGTCTCTTCAATCTTGGATCTAGAATTGGGATAATAGCAAATGAAGTTGGAGGCTGCCACTGTAGAGAGAAAGAAGATGAGCAGGGATAGCAAACCCACAGAAGACTATTACCCCACAAGCCCTGAACTCTCCTCAGTGTGCTCAGCAAATAGAGAGCAGGATGCTGTTTCTGGTAATTTCTGCTAGTGCATGACAATACTTTGTCCTAAAGGAGGGTTATTTAAAGTGGAGGATTTGATCTCTATGTCAAATACAATTATTCTCTGTTAGAATAATACACTGTATCTCATGATAACTCATATGTATCTCTCATCATAACTCATGGACAAACTACTCAGGCCAGATTGTGTACAAATGTTAGGTTGATAGTAGGAAACATCTCCAAAGCTTCTGCTCTCCAACTTTTGTTCTACTTTTCCTGTGGTTTTGCCAAAAAATAAAAAAAGTGCACCAAACTAACCACAGACTTATATGTTAGCAATTTCTTACACAAGAGTTCAGCTCAAATCTGCATGTGCATGAGTTCAGGAAGCAGAATATCCTATGCAATTAGGAGCATTCATCAGCTGCCACAAAACCTGCTTTCCTGCTGGCACAATATACCTCTCTGAAAGGTGTCCTAGGCAAGTATTGCTATCAGGACTGTGTGGGAAACTCCACAAGATGGGGTGAGGCTTTATCAGCTATGGGAGGTATTTATTTGGCACCACAACTGAGCACCTGGGACAGGTGGAACAGGGAGAAGAAATTACTGGGTGCATCCTCTTTCACACTTTCACTCCATTTAATAATTGTGCAACAAACCACTTCAGGAATGCTGTCAGCATTGGGCTACACAGCAGCCATGTCCTGCTTTGTCATATCTTTCAGTTCAGCTAAGAAAACAGAGTAGAAAAAATCTACTCCTTGGAGCTACTATCTGGAATTTTGTGGAAGGCTGGAAAATTAAAAAGTAAAAGTTGTAAAGGAACATGAATGCTCTGTTGAATTCCTGAGCAGAAAACCACTCTAAGATTTGAATGCAAGGAACAGGCAAAAGGTTGACCTCAACTTTTATACGGACAGGACCCTCTGCTCAGGATAATGTTACCTTTCTTGGAGAAGCTCTTCTGCCTATCCCTTGCAGAACTGTTTAAAACCAATTTTTTTTTTAAAGTTGCTGTAACTATATATGTTTAAACTGGGATTCACAGGAGAAAAGCTACCTTTCTCTTTGGGAATGAATAAGAAACACTGGAGACTGGGGAGGTAAAAGGCATGCTGTATCCCTGAGCCTCCCATGCCCATGTTGACTGGTTCAAGCTTGCAATAATAATATCCAGGCATTAAAGAAGTTTTCTAAAATGAATCTCTGAGACACTCAGAGTTAGCCATAGCCCAAATGGGGTGAGTATATGCTTAAGTTTGTCAGATTTGGGGGATCTAAGGTTATGCTTGCAACCTGTGGCTTTTATCTGATCCACAGGCACCACAGCTAGTCTGGCCACTGCATTGTCTTCAACCCAGTACAGCTCCTGCAGGAAGAACTCACATCCTCATTTCAAATGCACAGTCCACAGGAGCATCTCCAGCTGTGTGCAGCACATGCCATCAAGCAAGTAGATAAATTAACCTGTAAAATAATGCTGACAGCAGCCATGGGTTCCTCAGTTACCAGGTGCAGATGCACTTGCACAAAAGAGAACCATAGAAATCAAAACTCCTGTAGCCACTTCGTCCTGAAAAACAGAATAACTCTTCCCACCCAGACACAGTCATTATAGACCCCAGAACCTTCTCAGGAAGTTGCATTTTGCATAGAATAGGTTTCCTGGCGTCTAGACTAAACCCTGTTACTCTGATGTAATAATCCTTTGAACCCAGTTTCTCAGTATATTTTTTCTTTCTTGACATTTGCACCCTGCAGCTATTTCAAAATGGGCAACCACATGACCCTCAGGCCTCATTTTGCCAGATGTGTTTCTCCTTTATGTGTCAATCACTTCCACTTCTCACTTAAGGGCTCATTTTATGTAGGCAACACTAGCTCTTGAAAGTCATATGACTTCAATGGACCTTCAGCAGAGATATATATATTTGTTCCCTTTGATTTGTATTGTGGTTGTTATTTCACATTTCAGATAACGAATCTGCCAGTCGCTGGGATGGATTCTATTACTGACTTTAAATGGAAGCCAGATTTCCTCCCTAAGCACAAAAGATTTGCAAACACTTGAGTTGTCCAGTGGTCACAAAGTTTCAGCAAATTTCCCAAGTTATGTCTGTCACCCTTGTACCTCTCACCTACAAACAAGTTTTGGGTGCAATTACTAAAATGTCCTGCATTTGTGCCCCTTCCCCACATCACACTCCACTTCCAGGTGTGCTGATGTGTATTTTTGGTTATCACAACATGCCACCAAGTGCCATCCTTCAGGAATGTGGCACAGGCTCCTGTGAAGTGTACCAGCCATGGACACAGCATGATCAATGATGAGAGGAACACTGGATGGCTCAAGACCAGAGCAGGAGCAACAGCAGATCATACCTCATATCCTGTGATTGCTATCTGGTGCATGGAGTCATTTACTGATTTGATGATATCGAGCATTGTGGCCAGGGCTTCTTCCAATTCAGCAGTACCCTCAGAATTCTTGCTGCACTTGAGCATTTCCTGGTTTAAAAAATATATGGAAACTGCTTGAGAACTTTGCATACCAGAAGACACCATAAAACAATCCTGGAATCTGTGATGCATAGACAAAATAGCAGAACTATAGGAAAACAAAAAATGGAGCAAAGAAACCCCAAACCAAACAGGACATTCACCAGGACTGTCATTGAGGACACACATTTGGACCTTTTGGACATTTTCAAGTTTTAAGGGTTCATTTAACATGAGAGAAGACCATTCTGACATATTTACAATGAGCTCCTTACACGTCACAAGATTATATTCAGGGATTTTTTAACTTCACATATGATAGAAAAGAAATTCAATCTTAATATAATTATTTCAAGTGTTAGAGAATTCCCCATTTTCCTTTGCAATTAGTTCCACAAGGTACTTATCACCACTGTAACAAATGTAATTAATTTCTAGTCTGAATTTGGCAGGTTTTACATTCCACATTTTGAGTTTGGAAATAATTTAATCCAAAGGCTGAGGCACTTGTGTTCCTGTAAAACAGGGCTGCACAAAGGTAGTGCCTGCAACCCCCAAACAGCATTAGCCTTTTCTCAAGTGCTTGGGTGAGCAGTGATTGGAAGGTAAAAGCAGGATGCATCCCTATATTACCCATTGCACATTTTCTAGGATGAGGATGGATCCCTGCTCTTCATATAGTGAGCATATTAGCTAAACTCATTGAAAGCAGAGGGTTGCAATGACTGTGACCCAAAATTTAAATCTAGTCTGCCCATCACTCAAGGCAAACAGCTTCTTAAACACTTGTTTCTTACCACTTTTTCATTGACTCCCATTTTTCTACACTTTTAAATGCTCCTGCTGCCCGTGAAAGAGTGCACCATCTTCACAGGTCTCATAATCCCTGACAAAGTAAATGCCTGTGCCAATGTGCTGTTGCTAACTGCAAAACTGGTCTGACCAGATTCAGCCCCAATGGCTGCAACATGTTTTGCCTGAGAATTTTACTCCTTGATCTAATCTTGGTTTTATTTACAGTCGTATTTCAATTAAAAGTAGAATCTGGTTTACTCCTGCTTTTCTGAAGGCCTTGACATTTTTTTCCATTTCACAGAACAGTTTTAAGAAATAGAGCCAAATTTACTTCTGGACTACATTAAGATAAAATCTACTGGAATCAGTGAAGTTGCATCCTTGTCAATATCCTCTCTCACTATTTGGATTCTAACAGTTTTGCATAAAACCAATAAACAGGTCACAGAAATACTGCACAAGAATGGCCAGCCAGGTCCTCACATGGCTTCAACTGGCACAATTTGAGCAGTGCCAGGCTAGTTGTTAGAACAAAATTGCAGCCTAAAACCTTCATTGCAAATTTCAGTGCTAAATTTCATGACAGTATACAACACTACAGAGGCTTGAGAACAACATATAATTCACCTTCATGACCTTTCCATAAGGAAGGCCAGTAAATATTATTTTAAAGAATTTAGGAGATGAAGACAGAAATTTAAGTCACCATCTTAAAAATCATAATTGGTTTGAGAGTATTTATGTTCTGTTGCCCAGTTCAGACCAGAATTTCAAGCATTGACCACTCATGGTTCCAACTAAATCAAGAGGGAAGTTCATATATTCATCCTGTGGAAAAGTTACAGACAATCTGTTCCTAGCTGGGTCTTTAAAACAGAAGCACAAAGGGAGTGGCTCCTTCTTAAACCTTTGAGTCACAACCATGGGAAAATATCAGCCTCAGAGAGCTGAAAAAATTTTATTAAACAGGGACAGATGTTAGAGACAGGATTTAGAGCATCAGTTCCTGTTTGCAAACTGTAAGGCATATACTGATACAATACAGCCAGATTAAATTTCTGTTGAAAGATAAATAAAACAATAAAAAAGACAATAAAATACTTACTATGCAAAATATCTTACTTTATATAGAGAGAGCTATACATATACTGCTATTGTATATAAGTGGCATATAAGTACTGCTAAGTAATAATATCTATTCTGCAATAGAAATCCTTTCTTGGACAGTTTTTTACCATTTTACAGCTAAACATTACAGAGTATTTGTTGAAGAAGTGAGAGAGGACTTATTTCCAGGTAGTCCTGGCTGATATGCAATTCTGTAAGTAAAACAAGCTATGCACTGGAATTGTTTGCATTGTCATGGAGAGCTTACCTTTAACAGCAACTGGTACTTGGTGATTCTCTGGACTGGCTTTAAGAGATAAGCATCTAGTGAGAGCTTATGATCCAATTTACGCTGACATTCCTGTAAGAAACAACAGGAAAGAAAAATGCAATTGTTTCTTGAAACACAGGTATGATCATTATCATTTGACAATCTGAAGATTACGTCTGTGAATTAATCGAGAGAGAAGTCTGTTCTGTCTGCATAGGAGTTTCCAAATTACTCATGCCACAGTGAAAATATATCTAATCAAGAGCTAATGTTTAGGTTCAACTTGGTGTTGAAATCTGGCATGCCCTGCTGATGAGATTGCAATCATCTGGGGTTTGCAAAGAAGGCAGCACTTGTTTGGTTTGGGTATATCCTGAAGAGTCAGGCTCCTGCCCAGGAAACCTATCTACTGCTCTACCTACTCAGTCTCCTTAGGAAGCACCTTGACACACACTGAGCACCTGCCATCAGTACAAGAAGCATGCAGAAAAGTCTATATAGTCCTCTAAGTTTTCTAAAGAAAGAAGAGATACAAAAAGAAAATGAGCTTTGAGGGTCTGCGACTGCTAGCCTGAAATGAAATTCCACCTGAAAAAAGATGCTGTCTCCACATTGTCTCCAGAGAGCTTCGGACCTTGGCTTGTTCTGACAGTACTTTTCATATATTTGGAGGTCCTCTTTCTGCAAGAAAAGAGAATTTAGGCAAGGTAAGAAAAAAAGAATCCACAGAGCATCTGCCTTGATTCACACTTTTTCTTACCTTTCATCTAAGACATGAAATAATTAAAACATGGGGATAACTCTGAATGTAACAATACACTAAGATTACCAAACTTGCTTTTTGCTCCTGATTAAGTTAAATACACCTGAAAGTAAGATTTTTTTCCCCCCTCACTTTTTGCACAAAGCAAGGAGACTGCAGACTGGAAGATAAATAATCTAATTGAAAAAAAAGTGGTATATTCCATGGAGAAGAATAGATGGTAAGAAAAAAATAACAACCCAAAACCCAAACAAATTAGAAATGTAAATTTTATTAACAATACTGACACAGACTGCAATTGTTAACAATACTCATCACTTAGCTAAGATTTACCTGTTCCACACACTTTGAAAATAGCATTGGCTGTCAATAGTACAAGGATGAATTAAAAGGTTGGCTGTTGATGTCCCAGGCCAGGCAGGGGGATGTACTTACACCCTGCCCTATCCAAATTAGAAGTGGGTGGATTCACTTTACCTCTATTTAGCTTTGAATGACTCCAGGTGCTCTCATTGAGGGCCATGGCAAAAGAGTCACTGAGTTCAGTGCAAACAAAGACAATCTCTGTAAAAGCCCAGAGAGGTGTATTTTGAGCTCCCTAGGTTGTGTGGCTGGATGCAGAGTGATGGATGCTCCTCTGCCAGGTTCTGGGCTCACTGGCTGTGCATCCAGTCAGCCACAGGGCCATGGAGCAGTGCCATGCAGGTTCCTGAGCAAGGCTGGCTGTGCCTGATCACCTGGGAGCTTCTCATCTTCATCTGCTCCTACTGTGGTGGATGTGACCTCAGCAAATCAAAGAAAGCACCAAAGATAAACCTCAGGAATTCCTGGCTCTTGCCTCTGTGCTTTCAGCCCACTAGACAGTTCCTGTACACTCCTGCTGCAAGGAAAGTATTTCCTTTTGTACAGTTACTAGAAGAAATCAGTGTTGCTGCTGTCTTTCTCTACAGACCCATACTGACATCATCCTGGTGAATCTGCTGTGAAAGCTGAGCTGTGCCATGCAACACCACATGGTGTTAAGGATTATGCAATACAAAAAGCTGTTGCAACTTGATAGAGTATTAATAATGCTGTTTCAAAATATGTGCAGTTGTGTTCACAAAAACGGAATTGTTTGTACATGTTGCCTTGAATGGAGGTTAGCAGGGGGTAAACCCCACAAAACTAAAAGTAGTAACAAAACATAACCAACCATTACAATCTCTTCCTGGCCCACAGAAACCTAATTGGACTGGGCAGGAAGCATAGAGACAGTGAGAGTCAAGAGTACTATTAGGAGTCAGAGAAGAGAACCAATTTAAACTTAAAGAAAACGTTCAATAACCAACAATTTACAAGTAATTTGCCATAGTGGAACCACCCTAGGCCAATGCAATCTATTGCTGCCTAAGTCAGTGACACCTGCTCAGGCAGATACTTACATCTTCAAAGCCAGCTTTAAGTTTTGCAATAGTATTATGAACAGGAAATTGCTGATGAAATTACTAGGATTGGACTCTAAAAAGGCAAGAAATAATTAATTGCCTAACTATTCAAATCCCAGTCTTAAATGTTCCACACATCTCTATTTTCATATCCAAAAGTTCTGACTTCTTGCTAGTACTTTTACACCTTGCTCACCTCTCCTGTAATGCTTTTCCTTTCCACAGTGATTTGCACTCTGATATCTCTGTAAGCTTCAATGCACATGGCATATATGCACAGGTCCAATTAACTTTTTGACTGCTGATTGAGGAATAATTTTTGCTTCAGACTAGAACTTAGCCCTATGAGTCCAACTCAGGTTTCTGGCCAGCTGCTACTGTCCTCTCACACATAGATTCCTTTTCTAAATGCTTCTTTCTCCCTGAATGACCAAATGCCCCAACTGCTGGCTCCTATTAAATGATTCCCTTTTTTAAGGTTAGCAATATGAATAAGTAAACAGTGGTAATCCACAGTGAATCACTCCTGCCAGTCACCTCTCCTGGCACATGTTGGTAAGCAGTCTGACACACCTTAGGTTTCCTCCTGGGCATTCTTGCCTTGGTTTGGTAACATTTCCTTCTTCACAGCCCTATGTACAGCAGATCAATCCAGAGTGTCCCTTCTGCTGCTGATAAGGCACTAGAAGACCCATTCTGCCAGGCATTCAGTGCATGTCCCTCCCCTCTTTGAACAGCTGCATAGTCCTTGACCACACAGAGCTTTAAGAAAGGTCAGGCACCTTGGGGATGGTATAGTAGCTGCCATGTGGGCAAAGCTGAGCTGGTTCACTTGTAATTTAGTTCATATGAAGATCATGCCCTAAATAAAGTCAGGCAAAGTGGGAGAGAGGATAAGAGTGGCATTTCTGGCTCATCTTTTACCTGATTCTGCTACCATGTTCCAGGAGAGAAGCCAGACAGGAGGAATAGGCTGTGACTCCACATCCTGTTCCTGCCGTCACCTGAGAAGAAGGGTTCACATCCATGGTGACAGCTGATCAGATGGCACTGGTGGAGGTGGGAGAGTGTATGTGTGGGGACATGGCAGAAGAATGACTGGCAGGAGATGGAGGGAAGTGTGGCACCAGGGTGTCTCACTGCAGCTCTCAGGATTCTTTCAAGCAGCTCTGGAATCAGGGCTGAAAAGGCCCAGTGTGATCAGACAGAGTACAACTCATTCAAGTATGAATCTAAAACTCAATCTGTTTCTAATCACAGGCCCCCCATGATGTTGTGGCAGGATGGGCACACCCATACAAAGAAGGAGAAATAGAGAAGAAAATGTGAAACAATATGAGTTTCCTCCAGAAACTCAACATCACCTGGAACAGCAGCTGCTTCTGTTTCTCCCTGCTGAAGCAAGTACAGCCATAACTCACGGGGCAGCCAGAAG